GAGAGAGAGAGAAGATTTTTTTTTTTTCAAGACAGGGTTTCTTTGTGTAGCCTTAGCTGTCCTGGAACTTGCTCTGTAGACCAGGGTGGCCTCAAACTCAGCTCAAACTCAGAGATCCGCCAACCTCTGGCTCCTGAGTGCTGGGATTAAAGGCGTGCACCACCACAGCCTGGTTTGAGAGAAGAGTATTTTGTGTATGAATGTGCTGTATACGCATGTGTGTGTGTGTGCATGTGCACATACCTGTACATTTGGCAGAGGCACAAGAAGGCCATCTGCTTCTGCTTTACTCCTCATTGGAATGGAACTAGACTGCTGGCCAGCAAGCCCCAGATGTCCCCTGGTCCTGCTGTCCCAGCTCTAGAGTGACAGACAGGTACATGGGCTGCATTTACACAGGCTTTAGGAGTCAAACTCAGGCCCTGAGGCTTGCATACAAGTGTGCTTCTCCACTGTGCCATCCCTCTGGCCCCTTACATACTTTCAATGTCTTTATCATAGTATTCCTGTCAGCTGCCCGTCGATAATGCAGAAGGGTTCAGACCAAATTTATCAAGCCATCCGGTCTGTGACTGAGACATAGGGAAGAAGACTCTCCTCTTTCTGGGGCACTGATCGAGTGTCAATCATTGTTAGGGCACCATTAAAATCATTTAAAATCACTCTCAGTGTCAATGATAAGTTCTTACTATAATCACTCCTGATGTTCAGTTGCCCATGAAGAAGCGAGGTAGTGGGGACTGGATAATTCTCGCTGCCCCCAGCTGTTGGAATCTCCTCTCCTACCCTGGCTGCCTCAGCCAAAAAGACTATCAGTCAAGCAGCCATCAGAACCCTCTGACGCCAACACCAGCTGTTGGGAACGCTCAGTGGATGCTTTATGGAAGCTACACTGTGAGCTGAACACTTGCTCTGGCTTCTGGGGTGCAGTGCTGACTGGACTGTTAGAGGCAGCCTAAGTGGGACTTTCTCTGTAATCACACACACTAATCCAAACCCAAGCCAGAGAACTCCTGTCGGGGGCCTGCTGTGACTGGTGCAAAAGGGACCGTGTCAGGACTGGTGTAGACGACACAAGTCTCCATGTGCAGAAAGGTCGACTGTGATTGACACAAACACCACTCTTCCGGTTACTTAGGTCTATCCAGCTCTCTTGAGGGAGTGGCTGCCACGCTGAGTCACTGGGGCGGCCAGGTGTGGCTGCTGCTCAGAAGCAGGGACTCTCAGGGAACTACAGGCCTTCCTGTGGGACAGGCAGAGCTCTGAGAGCTGCGGGAGACGTTGGTAAGAGTCCCAACAGCTCTAAAGGCCAAGGGTCTAAAGACACCCTAGGTCTAGGAGCTGTATTCTTGGCCTCTGTCAAAGGCTGAGGAATCCTAACTTTGAGGCCAGGGCAAGAGTCCCAGCATCCGAGGCTTGCATGAGAACTGTAACACCAGAGGGAGCCAGCCACTGCAGTTCCCGGGTACATGATGCTCTATCGCTTGCCGCCATCAAATACCTGTGGTTAGAAAAACTGCCAACGACCGGCCCCATATTGCTCATCCACCCACATGTAACAGATACTCAGTCAATAGTGGTCCCTATCATCTCTACCATGTAGACTACCAGGACCACAGCCAGCTGATTGGGAACGCGACTGCTTTTCTGAGACCACACACCTTCCCCCTTGTCTGTCCATACGCTGTCTAGTCATTATCCCCTTCATTTCTGTGTTTTTCCAGCATATATCTGTGGCCAAGTCTCTTCCTTCATTTATTTGTTTATGTCACAAGTAGGGCCAAACAGGCTGTTTTGAGGAGGGGAGCTGTAGTAGTATTTGATACAGACAAAGAGATGTTGGATCTACCCCAGCATGGTCAGTCATATCCACTCGCAACTTTCCCCACACCATCATTTTCTCCCTGGAGAAAGTGTGTGTAGGAACTTGGGTGTGAGGACAAGTGCCTGACGTCAACACTCATCAGTGTCTTCCGTAGGAACCCATCTATGGGCCAGCAACCTCTCAGGTTCTGGAAAGTGTGCACGTAGAGGGACCTATTGACCACACAGCTTTTTCAGAGGTCACACTGGCCTTGACAGGGCACAGGTCATCTGGCTATGGCCTTTCTTACTGGATAGCTATATGACCTTGGTAAAATAATTTTAGTCAATCCTGAGTCTTTCCTTACCCACAAAGTAATAGTGCTTTAGACCACTATTTGCTGATCATTTATTTGTTGTAGGCACCACCCTGAGCACGCTGTGCATATTAACTGAGTATTAACTTATAACAAACTTGTGAGTCTCATGATGCCTGTTTCTCAGGCTGGGAAAGTGGGGTATAGAGCATTAATTGGCATCCTAATGTCAGAAAACTATGGGCAGCTGAGAAAGGCTTAGTGTGGAGAGAGTCCAGACTCCGAACCAATTACGTCACCTCCTGAGCATGTGTAGGAGTTAGATTATATGGCCGTTAGGCTGTCTGCCTCTAGTTCAACAGCTTAACTAGTATGAAATTCAGGTTGAGAAGAAAGTTTAAGGATGGGATGATAGAGATGCTCAGTGGTTACGAGCAGT